TACGAACTTTATCACCCACGCGAAATTTCGGTCTTCTACTGTTCACACGAAAGTCGGCGTAAATAAGGCGTAATTTTTTTGCATTTTCTGTTGTTACATCAGCAGGCCTCATACCAATAGTTTGATGTTTTCTACGGTTATATTCACGTATGAGCTCCGGTAACACATCAATCCACTTGTAATTTCCACGCAAACGGAACTGTAGTCACATTTTACTCTTCAATGTTCGATTGAATCTTTCACATATGGACGCCTTCAAATTACTGAATGTGGAATATAAATTGATATTATATTCTTTCATTAATCCGTGAAATTCAGAATTGTAGAATTCTTTCCCACCATCAACATGCAAATGTTTCGGCACACGCCCCCGTTGGAGAATGGAACTCATAGCTCTCGTCACATCCTGAGCATTTTTTCTTTTTATCAGCTCAGACCACGCATACTTGGAAAAAATATCGCATACAGTTAGTAAAAATCTATTTCCATTATTACTCTTTGCGCAAGCCGTCATATCCACCAAATCTGCCTGCCATGTTCCATCCAGATCACGAATGTCGACTCGTCGCCGAGGATAATTTCTTCGTGCTGGACGATGTAATTCTGTCACATTCAATTTATTCTCCGACATTTTTGGGATCGCTCGGTATTCTTTCCACTAGTCTCATTAATCTACCAATTCTTTTATTAATATCCGCACACTTGCGTTTTATATCAATTTGCAATTCGTTAATTTTTATATTTAGAGTCTCTAGAGTTACAGCATCGTGCGCGTCCACTGGTATTGCAACATTACTCAGCCTTTTATCCTGAAGATTATAATTACCATCTGCAGTTAGTTTATAACCAACGCCAGGTGGGCCTCGATTGTGGCAGCCACTATCAGACGTCAAGTGGCGACCAAACACGTCAACACTCATTTCGCAAATGACAACAGATGGCAATGTGCATACTCTAATATATAATCCCCGCCTCGCGAAGTTCTTCAATAATTGATATAATTTCGTTATCATGACTAGGATTTTCAGCTCTTTGTGATGCCGCTAGTAATCGAAGACGGTCCACAAGTTCATTTGGATCATCCCAATAAATGTAGTCCACTCTGCTGAGTCGCTGAGCTCTCATGAAAGTAGGTAAAAGCCCCATGCCAGAGTACTTTGATCCAGCAAAATGTGAAATATATTTATCATATTTCTCACCATTCAGCTCTCGGATGCCTCCGCGAGATTTATAATTTTTTTGATGCCCATTAGTTGCAAGTATGATATTCTTATATGCATCAATATCACTCTCACTAATTAGAGTGTTATCAGGATTTTTCATGAAAAGAAGCTCCAATAATCCCTCAGTAAAAGCGTATTTCATGGTTTTTACTTTAATAAATTCATCCTCAAAAAATATGGGAGAGTCTCCAATCATAAAATTATGTGTAAGTTTGCGAACACCATAAGCCTTGTCCCATTTTGTTGTGTTGATTTGTGCCAAATATTTCCCTGCAAGAGTGTTGGCATCTTCTTCTGTCTCTATCTCTTCAGTGCTGGTCTTTGAACTTTTACTCAGAATGCGTGAGCTGCCAATGGCTGGAAGTATAGTAGCATCATGTGAATTTCCCAAGGATGGAATGATAGTCTCATTCAAAGTGTAATCAAATGAAGAATCGTCAGCTGTAGTCCCATAACTGTCTTCGGAGGCATCTCTCCGCGACAACATCTGCTTTGGTGTCTTTGGGGTAATCCTATATCTAAGTTTTCGTTGATTCTTGTAATCAATGGATTGCTTTCTATCATCAGGCAATTCAATTTTTTGTCTACTGTCATCGAATGATTTCACATTTCGAGCGGCTAATTCCTGAAGCGGTCTCACAATGGGTTTGAGAACTTCATTCATTGCTTCATCAACATTCTCTCTGCCTAATTTCAACAGGTTATGTTTTCGTTGAATAGCTTTTCGTGCATTGGAAATTTGACGTAAAAGCTCTTGTTGTTTGGACAATTCACCCTTGTGGGGAGGCATGTTGACTCGCTGGAATCTATCTCACAACTGTTTACTTCTTCCTCCCACAACTGTTATTTATTCGAATGAAACAATCGAAATTTTTCCTATATCGACCCCCATCAACGTCAATGTCTTTATCGATAACTAGAAAAGTATAATTGTCTTTCCAACAGGCTGAGCACAATTCTTTGAATTTCTCGAATGACACATCTGTGTTCACATGATCATTATAAATATGTCTCAAATTCATTTCATCCTGTTTAAATAATACGAGAAAATTGACATTGTCACGCACCAAATGTTTTGGGATGCGAGCATATGACTGACACAAATAAAAACTGTCAATATTTTTATGTCTCCCCATACAAAAATATGCCTTGATATTATTTTGTTTCTCGCATGCCACATCGTCGAATATGAACAGTGAATGCTCTTTTGCATTATCTACCGAGACAACTTCCTCATTGTCTGAGAATGGATAATACTTCATGTCATCAAGAGGTTCCAGTAAACTTTGTAAAAATTGATATTTGGGTTGATTGAGGGACTTTGAATACACATAAATAGTTTTCCCACAATTTCATGGACCACAGAAAACCACGCGAATCGTATTTGGTAGTAATCGGCCGTGACGTTTCGGTTTATTGGTATCTTTCACAGTTACTGAATCGAATTTAATGACGGGTAAACCGCTGAGATGTGTACTGAACTCCATCTTTATGACAACTGCGGCAAAAACCTATAAATTGATTGTTTTATAGCAAAAATTAGTCAGTTCCGCTTCAGACATGATTGTGCATAAGATCGCGCGCTAGCAAAAAGGGGAAAGGATTGTTGAACAACGTCATCAACAATCTTCCCGTTGAATTGCATTTGCCAGGCTAACAGTACTGTTGACCAGGCACGAAATTAACGAAAAGATTAGCTCGAGGAGATCCTGGGATTAATCCACTCGATGCTGATTGTAAGGGGCATGACATTGCCTACTCAAAAAATCTTCAGAATATTTCAGCACGACACGAAGCTGATAAAGTACTCACAGAGCAAGCTTGGCAATGCGTTTCAGCCTCAGATGCCAGTGTGGGGGAAAATCCGCTTTATTGGTAACGAACGCTATGAAAGCTAAAACCAAATTAGGCATGGGTGTGGAAAAATCAGGCACGGTTGTAAGAAAATTAGGCATGGGTGTGAAAAAATCGGGCACATGTGTGAAAAAATCAGGGATTGCCATGGCAGCTAGAAAAAAATCAGGTATGGGAGTGAAAAAACGTGTGGCTAAGAAGAAAAAGAGGAGAGGGAAACCTAAAAAGTGAGTCACAATTGGGGCAATCATCAGAGCTACCAAGAAGTCAATCAAATTGAATAATGGGTCACATGATGCTATTAGAACGGCACTCAACGGTGCAAGAGTAGCAATCAAACAGATTGGAGGGAGAAGTAGAGTTACTATTCCACGAGTTATTCCTGTTCCATCAAAAATTGGGGGAATCTTACCATTTCTCGTGCCATTATTTGCCGGATTGAGTGCCACGGGAGCATTAGCTGGAGGAGCTGCTGGAATTGCTAAAGCTGTGAATAGTGCCAAAGCCGCCAAACAACAACTCGCCGAAAATAAGAGACATAATGAAACTATGGAAGCTATCGCACTCGGCAGAGGTTTACATCTTGAACCTTGTTCGGTTTTCCACCGAATTGTTTTTCGCACACACGCACACTCACGCATACTCGCTCCTCTCGCATGCTTGCATGGCTTCTCAGGACTGACCTGCGCAACCGACTAAACTGACCAGTGGCCTCTCACCTCTGACACCTGAGGCGCCACTTGATGGACAGGTGTCCAGCGAACGCCCCCATTTAAATTGGGGTACGTTTGGACCCACTATGATCGACACCTGCCACCTTGCGGTCTTTCAATCGGCCTGATTTGCATTTCGGCCTTCGTACTGTGTACATTGTGTTCCGCGAATATCCTAGTATCTCTATTGTATTCGAGTTCTGAGTATTATTGCTCTGCGTTATAAATTCTGAGAACTGCGTTAATAAATATTGTGACCCGCGCTAATATTCTTGACCTTCTCAATTATTTAAATCTAACACGTGTAATTTTTTTGACTTCGATAATTAAATTGACTGAGTTAACCAACGTGTACCTGTGGTGATTTATGGACCTTCTCCCGCTCCCGTTGAAATCCGTTCGAATCTCGCCTATCGCTCGCAAATTCCACTCAAACCAGATTCGGCATCGAACAAACCTTATAAAAAGGGAATGGGCTTATATTTGAAGCCGNTGACTTCGATAATTAAATTGACTGAGTTGACCAACGTGTACCTGTGGTGATTTGTGGACCTTCTCCCGCTCCCGTTGAAATCCGTTCGAATCTCGCCTATCGCTCGCAAATTCCACTCAAATCAGATTCGGCATCGAACATTTTGGTCCTTCGAGCCGGATACGTGGAATAGTTTTCAGTTTAGTGGTGTTTTTCGGTTTTGATGAACATTTTCCCCGCGAGTGAACACGTGCTCAGTGGATAGACAGTGGTGCTCATCCTGCGGATCCCTAGACTCGTCGCATCGGACAACTCAAAAGGTGCTCAACCTGTTCTCAACGCATCGCTTCAGGAAACTGCCTTATCGACACGCGGGAAAATTCAAACGGAGCTTCTCGTCTAAAAGGGAAGTCAAATTAATTACAATTTTTGCGCTTCTCTGGGGTTTTGCTGATTTTTCCTCAAGTTCGGCTGCATGTGATTTATTTATTTTTTTCGATTTATTTACGCTTATTATTAACGCTTTTTGGATTTGCGCTGGAGTTCTGGGCTACGCTTTGTTTTCCGCATATTGCTTTTTCTTGCTTTTTGACCTGCGTCCTTGGCTCTTTGTTTATTTTTGAGCATCTCTCCTGGCACGTTCGCTTATTGTTTCTTTTTTAGTTTTTTGCAGCAGTTGATCGAGGTTGTGGTTTTTCTTGTTGGTTTCCTTTCTCTTTTTGTTGACAATTCCACAAGATGGTAACTCTCGAAGCACTGATCTCGCTGCAGATGACACGTGCATCCTTCATCGAAGGCATTTACATGGAGTCACAGGAGGAGAGCATCCAGCAGTTCGGAGTGACGGCTCTGGATTCCAAGCTCGTCACGCTGGAAACGTATTGGGCGAAGCTGGAAGCGCCTCATGAGAAACTCGTTGGCCAGAAAATCGAGAATTTGACATCTCTCGATTATTTTAAGAATCAGGTCTTCGATGTCGCGCTTAAGCATTACGCTTCAGGTAGAGTAGCGCTGCTGCAGCTGTTGGAGAAGAAGGGGGCTCCTAACCTCAACCAATCGGTTCGAGTTCCTGGCGACGCGCAACTACAGAGTTCAACGCGCAGAGCTCTTCCGGAGATTGAGTTGCCGAAGTTCTCTGGAGTGTATAAGGAGTGGAGGCCATGGAGAGACCTTTTCCATTCGCTGGTCGGGAATAANAGATCGAGAATTTGACCTCTCTCGATTATTTTAAGAATCAGGTCTTCGATGTCGCGCTTAAGCATTACGCTTCAGGTAGAGTAGCGCTGCTGCAGCTGTTGGAGAAGAAGGGGGCTCCTAACCTCAACCAATCGGTTCGAGTTCCTGGCGACGTGCAACTACAGAGTTCAACGCGCCGAGCTCTTCCGGAGATTGAGTCGCCGAAGTTCTCTGGAGTGTATAAGGAGTGGAGGCCATGGAGAGACCTTTTCCATTCGCTGGTCGGGAATAACCTGGAGATTCTTGGAGTCGAGCGAATGCACTACCTCCGTCTCTGTCTCTCCAATGAACCGTTGAAGCTCATCTCTAATTTGCCCGTCTCTGAAGATTCCTTCGGCATCGCATGGAGAATCTTGGTCGATCGATACGAGAACAAGCGCTTATTGATTACAGCTCACCTTGACCAGCTTCTCAATCCTGCTCCGATGAAGACGCACGGTGCCTCAGACCTTAATTTATTGACGAGCTCCGTTTCTGAGGCACTCAGCGCGCTCAAAGCACTGGATCAGCCAACAGATCATTGGGGTCCAATCGTCGTTCACGTGCTCACTCGTCGCTTGTCCAACAAGCTTCGTGAGGCATGGGAAAATAAAATTGGAGCCTCGACTGAGTATCCGACGCTTGAACATCTCCTCGATTTCCTACAAGGTCGTTCACGAGCCATGGAGACCTTGGAGGTTGGGTCTTCGGTGCACACATCGAACGACGCCTCTCGTCCTTCGCAGCCCAGCGTCCAGACTCGTTCGATGACCAAGAGTAGTGCCAAGGTCAATCAAGCCTCAGTGTCTTCGCATGCGCAGCAGTCAGCCCAGAAATCTCCCAGTCCAGCACAAATACAGTCCACAAAGTCGACGTCCTGGGCCGACGCGGGCTATCCTCGTTCCTACTGCAAGATGCATCACTACATCGCTTCTTGCAGCGGATTCAAGTCGCTTACACCTACAGCAAGGAAGGAGGTTGTCGAACGACTCTATCTGTGCTACAACTGTCTGGGGAAGCACAGTATCAGAGTCTGCCAGACCACTCGAACGTGCAGGACATGCCAGGAGAGGCACCATTCCCTGCTGCATTTTGATCGCGCTCGTCGTCCAGCTCAACGTGGTCCAGCATCTCAAGTGCCTCCCAACGCCGAGTGCTTCTGCTCCATCGACCAACTTGCCTGTCGTGACGTACACTCACACCGGTGATGCTGCTCAGGCTGCGTCTTCAGCCCATTCTCAGGCCTGAAGCGGACCGTCCCAAGCGTCGATTCCTTGTTCGGCCCATAGTTGTTCTGCGCAAACCTCTCGGCCTGGAGTCCTTCTCGCAACTTGTTTAGCTCTTTTAGTGAGTGATTATTGCCCTCCGCATCAAGTTCACTCTTGTTGGATTCAGGCTCCGAACTCTCGCTCATCTCAGATCAACTAGTTTGGAAGGTGAAATTAAAGAAAACTCGTAGTTCTGTCTACATAACAGGAGGGGGAGGATCATCGTTTGGGACAACGTCCGGCGAAGTACATCTCACGCTGCAATCGATCCACTCAGAAGAACGCATTGAAGTTACAGCTCACTCCCTTGAACGTCTCACCTCAACGCTGCCGTCCTTCTCAGCAGAGGGCCTCAAGTGGGATCATATCGAGGGTTTAGAGCTTGCTGATCCTCATTTTCGAGTCTCTGCACCAATTGACCTTCTCGTCGGTGCTGATGTTTTTGGTGAGGTCATCAAGCCCAACGTGATCAGAGGAGGGGTTCAGGCTCCAGTCGCTCAACTCACCAGCTGTAGCTGGATTGTTTACGGGCCAGCGGGACCTGATCAACCAACATCTTGCTCTTCTCATCACCTGAGCGTATCGAACGACGAGCTCAACGACCTTCTCACGAAGTTTTGGGTTCAGGAGGAAGTTCCTGGGCGCACTGACGCGAATCTCTCAACGGAAGAATTAGAGTGTGAACGCCACTTCCGTCAGACTCACTCAAGAGATAGCTCAGGTCGATATGTCGTTCGTTTGCCCTTCTCAGCTCCAGTTTCGTCATTAGGGAGTTCCTATCGTCCAACACTAGCTTGTCTTCATCGTATGCTTGCTCGAATCTCAAAAGATGAGCGCTTTCTCCAGCTTTACTCTGACTTTCTCAAGGAGTATGAGGATCTCGATCATATGAGATCAGTAACTCGCTCGACTCATCGCTCTTCGTCTTCGGTTCAGGCGGATTCCGCTTGTCGTTCTGACGAGACGACCTTAGCACATGAAGCGCAAGCTTCAGGAGGGTTGAGGGTCTCTGAAGGGCTTCAGGTAGGGCCGTCTGACGCTCAAAGGAGTTACTATTTACCTCATCATGGTGTAGTCAGAGAGAGCAGTGAAACGACGAAACTGAGAGTAGTGTTCAACGGATCAGCGAAGACCAGTTCAGGGAACTCACTCAATGACATTCTCCACATAGGAGCCAAGTTGCAGAGGGATATCTCGGACGTGCTGCTCTGGTCAAGACAGCACAAAGTCATCTTCATGACGGACATCACCAAGATGTTCCGTCAGATTAGAGTTCATGAGGATGACTGGCCCCTGCAGCAGATTCTATGGACCGACTCACGTGGAGAACTAGTCACGTATCAACTGACAACAGTCACATACGGCACGAGATCAGCTCCGTTTCTCGCAAACCGTGTTCTTCTTCAGCTGGCTGAGGATGAAGGACATCGGTTCCCTTTGGCCGTCTCGCCTATCGTGAAAGGAAGATACGTTGACGACATCTGTGGAGATGCGGACACGTATGACCAACTCGTTAGGACCGCGCAAGAAGTTCGTGATCTCTGCGCTGCTGGAGGAATGCCTCTGGCAAAATGGCATAGTAATAGTCCAGCGCTACTCCAGTGGCTCGCTCCTGATAGTGCCTCCAATGACCAGCGAGTTTATGAGGNATGACATCGAGCAGGCCCGACTGCTTTGGATCAAGCTCACTCAGTCTGTGCATTTTTCAGCTGAGCTTACGACCTTGTCCAGAGGGCAACGTCTTAGTTCATCTCACTCGCTCACTCGATTGACAGCGTTCCTGGACCACCGGGGAGTTCTACGCGTTGGAGGGCGCCTGAAATTTGCTCAGCTTGACTGCGAAAATAAGCATCAGATCATCGTACCTCGGGATTCGCAGTTCGCTCAGCTCATCATTCAGGATGCCCATCTCAGGACTCTGCATGGAGGAACGCAGCTGACTCTCGGTCAACTCAGAAGGTCTTACTGGATCCTCGGAGGACGAGCCCCGGTAAGATCATTCATCCTGAGGTGCGTTCCATGCGCTAGATAGCGGGGGATCAGAGCTCAACAGCTCATGGGCCAGCTCCCAGTTGCTCGTCTCACACCTGGTCGAGCGTTCCTCAACACTGGAGTTGACTACGCCGGACCAGTGTCTCTCCGCTCGTGGAAGGGGCGTGGTCATAAGTCGTACAAGGGATGGCTCGCGATCTTCGTCTGCATGACCACGTCCGCAGTCCATATTGAGGTCGTCTCAGATTACGCAGCCGATGGATTCATCGCTGCGTATGGTCGTTTTGTTGCCCGGCGTGGACTCTGCAAGAACTTGTTCTCAGACTGCGGAACGAACTTCTTCGGAGCCGACAAGGAATTGAAGAAACTCTTCTCAATGGCGTCTAAGGAATCGAACAAACTAGCCCAACTCTTGCTCAGCGATGGAACCAGATGGTCTTTTAACCCTCCAGGTGCACCGCACTTTGGAGGCAAATGGGAAGCCGCGGTAAAGTCGGTGAAGTTCCATCTCAAACGAACGATCGGCGATGCTCTATTGACCTACGAGGAACTCACTCGCTCAACTCGCGACCACTGGAACTGCTATCAGAGGATCCTGATGACGTCAGCGCGCTCACACCAGGTCATTTCCTGATTGGCCAGGCCTTGACCTCCGTTCCTGACCCTTCGCTGGAGCATTTGAACGTCGCTCGCCTATCTCGTTGGCAGCTTATCCAGCAGAAGGTTCAGTACTTCTGGAAGCAGTGGTCCACTAGCTACCTTCAACATCTACAGTCCATCTCGAAGTGGCACCACCCATCTCACGACATTAGGATTGGTTCCATAGTCCTTCTCACCGACGAGAGGTTTCCACCAACGAAATGGCCTCTCGCTCGAGTCATCGCTCTCCACCCTGGTAGAGATGGACTCGCCAGAGTGGTCACCATTAAGACGTCCAGTTCTACTTTGCAACGGCCCATCTCGAAGCTTGCTGTACTGCCAGTCTCGACCAGCGACACTTAAGATCATCTCGACCAGCGATACCTAGGATCATCTCACGTGATGACAGCTCTGCATCATCGGGTTCATCATAGTCCATGTTCGGATTGGGTCATGGTGAGGATTTACGACCCTCTCGGTGGCAACTGGTCCGGAGTGGACGTGAGTCTGCAGGGGTCTGCTGGAATTTACGCCTCCTACGTCCTCGGCTGTACTCACACCTGACCGTCACTGGTGAACTACGATGGTGATATTGATCTTTGAGAAATCTTGTCCTGAGCTCGATTAATCTTTTTTTGTTTCAGACCAACTCAGTCACGTCAGCAGCTGCTGACGGCGGGGGAGAATGTTCGGTTTTCCACCGAACTGTTTTTCGCACACACGCACACTCACGCACACTCGCTGCTCTCGCATGCTTGCATGGCTTCTCAGGACTGACCTGCGCAACCGACTGAACTGACCAGTGGCCTCTCACATCTGACACCTGAGGCGCCACTTGATGGACAAGTGTCCAGCGAACACCCCCATTTAAATTGGGGCACGTTTGGAACCACGATGATCGACACCTGCCACCTTGCGGTCTTTCAATCGGCCTCATTAGCATATCGGCCATCGCACAGTGTGTATCACTTTTCCGCGAAGTCACTATTTTGCTCAAGTTCTTAGAACTAATTGCCCTGCGCTATCTAAATNTCGCGAATATCCTAGTATCTCTATTGTATTCGAATTCTGCGTATTATTGCTCTGCGTTATAAATTCTGAGAACTGCGTTAATAAATATTGTGACCCGCGCTAATATTCTTGACCTTCTCAATTATTTAATTCTAACACGTGTAATTTTTTTGACTTCGATAATTAAATTGACTGAGTTAACCAACGTGTACGTGTGGTGATTTATGGACCTTCTCCCGCTCCCGTTGAAATCCGTTCGAATCTCGCCTATCGCTCGCAAATTCCACTCAAACCAGATTCGGCATCGAACAAACCTTATAAAAAGGGAATGGGCTTATATTTGAAGCCGAAAAACTATTCAAGATGGTACCACGCAGGGCTCTGACTGACGGGGATATTGGAAAGTATGCAAAACTCATGGAAATTCCCCATTTCCGTGGTGTTTTCATGCGCAATGATCTGCCGAAAAATGGTCCATTGAAAAATGAGTCAGCCATCATTAATTTGGATGACAAAAAGGGTCCTGGAACTCATTGGGTTGCCTACAAGAAAGTGGGGAACGATGTTACCTATTTCGATAGCTTCGGGAACCTGCAACCGCCTACAGAACTCTTCAATTACCGTGGAGTTGGTAGTATAAAATATAATCACGAACGTTTCCAGAACTGGAATACATTCAATTGTGGACATTTATGTTTGGCATTTCTCAATGGATGCCTATATAAGAGCAAACGTTGATGACTTTTACTTAGTCGATGTTCAGAAATCATGGATGATTCATTCACATTGACAATCTCAGGGGTATCATCCGTGTTGGAGGTGCAATATTTTCCACCAATCGAACTTTCTCCTCAGAAGAATTATGTTCTTGGACTCGTGGAATTTTTAACTTTCAATTCCATTCCAAACGTCGATATGAGCAATAATAAATTGCACATAGGTGATACAATCCTCACCATTCTGACGGGAAGTTACGATATCTCAAAATTTATTGTAAGTGTGGAAAAGAATAATATTGATATAAAAATCAGAAGTAACAATAACACGTTATGGAGTGAAGTGTCATGCAATAAGGATTTGGACTTGAGGCCTGCAAATTCCATCGGTCGTCTCCTTCGTTTTACCCCTAGAGTTTTAGAGGCTCATAAAACTCATCAGCCTGATCAGCCTGTAGCCATTCTCAAAGTGAACGCTCTACGAGTGGAATGTAATATCACCACTGGAGCATACAACAACAGTGATAAAGTTCATACAATTCATGAATTTTTTCCTGTGGTGCCCCCTGGGTATAAAATTGTCGAAGTACCATCGCAAGTTATTTATTTACCAGTGTCTGTAAAAACGATAACCGATTTACAACTCCGAATCGTTGATCAAGACGGGGACTTGGTGAATTTTAGAGGCGAAACAATTACCATCAGGCTACACATCAAATCTATTGTATAATCATGGGCATAGTATATAATCGTAAGATTGGCTACTCCTATAAAAGCCCCCAATCATGCCTCGCTTCAATCACTTCGCATGCTGGTTTCAAGGGGTTAACACCTCAGAACGTGAAGTTTCTCAAGAGTCTCGGTCTGGCCGTAAGAAAAAGTGGAAAAAACGTTTTTGTCAAGTAAAAATCTTATTCGCCTGTTGTATACCATGGAGGAAAGCCTGAATATCAAACTCCCCCCGGTGTTTGAAGATTCCATCACTTACTATGAGATCCATGCACATCAGTCATATACCTCGACGGCACTAGATAATAGTGATAAAATTCGCATCACTGTACAAAATTAAGATCTCTGTATTTTACCAAGTAAAAGTTNGTGGAGTTGGTAGTATAAAATATAATCACGAACGTTTCCAGAACTGGAATACATTCAATTGTGGACATTTATGTTTGGCATTTCTCAATGGATGCCTATATAAGAGCAAACGTTGATGACTTTTACTTAGTCGATGTTCAGAAATCATGGATGATTCATTCACATTGACAATCTCAGGGGTATCATCCGTGTTGGAGGTGCAATATTTTCCACCAATCGAACTTTCTCCTCAGAAGAATTATGTTCTTGGACTCGTGGAATTTTNAAAATTGATAAAGTGAAGAAAGTGGGGATTACTACTGTCATGAAAAATCTCGTGTCATTAACACCAAATCAAAGTATCTCAATGGAAAATGCCGGATGGTTGGGTGTGNCGATATGAGCAATAATAAATTGCACATAGGTGATACAATCCTCACCATTCTGACGGGAAGTTACGATATCTCAAAATTTATTGTAAGTGTGGAAAAGAATAATATTGATATAAAAATCAGAAGTAACAATAACACGTTATGGAGTGAAGTGTCATGCAATAAGGATTTGGACTTGAGGCCTGCAAATTC